AAAAAAAAAAAGTAGATCGCACTAAAAATTAAAAGGGCCGGAATCGAACTGCGGTCCTTTCAATTTTGAGTGCAGAAAAACAAGTCCCGGTTCCTGGGTAGCAGTTGGAGTATTTTCATTACTCTGGTACCTTCCAGACCCTCTTGGCTGCGTAGTGTCTCGGTCTAAGTCCTTTTGACGCACGATATATAGATGACGTGCTGACTTTGCGACAGTACGTCTGCAACCAAGACCCCCGATGAGCACTGTTGGCGGACAGCCAAAACGTCGGGTCCACGCCACCGCGTTTTTATCATAATGTCTTTTTACAGTCGCATTTGAGAGAAATCTGTGTCACACTTTTGTGTACTCTCCATGGTTTTCTTTTCCTTCTTCCTCTACTTCTCCCCTCCTCCCGTGCCTTTCTTAAACTTCTTCTTCTCTACTTTTCACCAAACCTCTTTCCTTCCTGCGATGACATGATGACCTGTGTGGTTTTGCTGACTAACCGTCTTGCGCTCGTTGTAACCGAGTTTACGGTTCACTTCAATTATGATGAATGTACACACGGTTAGTCACGGAGGTGAATTTGCACCTACCTGTGTACAAACCAAGCACGTCCGGATCACCCAGAGCAAACCTTGCAAGGACGACAGGGAGGCCACGAAGACACCTTTCTGAGAATCACTTGCGGCGTACAGCAAACCCTAGACATTTGATGAGGGTTGGGTGTACTGCTCTTGAGCAGCCCAAGGGGGAGGGATGATGGGATGGATGTGGGAAGAAAAGAAAAAAAGTAGATCGCACTAAAAATTAAAAGGGCCGGAATCGAACTGCGGTCCTTTTAATTTTGAGTGCAGAAAAACAAGTCCCGGTTCCTGCATAGCAGTTGGAGTATTTTCATTACTTCTGGTATCTTCCAGACCCTCTTGGCTGCGTAGTGTCTTGGTCTTAGTCCTCTTGACGCACGATATATAGATGAGGTGCTGACTTTGCTACAGTACCTCTGCAACCAAGACCCGTGATGAGCACTGTTGGCGGACAGCCAAAACGTCGGGTCCACGCCACCGTGTTTTTATCATAATGTCTTTTAACAGTCGCATTCGAGAGAAATTTGTGTCACACTTTTGTGTACTCTCCATGGTTTCCTTTTCCTTCTTCGTCTACTTCTCACCTCCTCCCGTGCCTTTCTTCGTCTTCTTCTTCTCTACTCTTCACCAAACCTCTTTCCTACCTGCGATGACATGATGACCTGTGTGGTTTTGATAAATGCTGACTAACCGTCTTGCGCTCGTTGTAACCGAGTTTACGTGTGCGGT